ACGAAATATTTGAATGAGTAATGATATTAGTCTCAGCATTTCGATCTTCATTTAAGTTTTTTATAACTGGAGGAATTTGATCCTTACTGTTTAGACTAAAACATGTTCTCTTGATGGCTCGATGAGGCAATTTTTAGACGTTGTAACATGTACGGTTGTTTTGGAGAAGTGATCATAGATGCTACATCTAGTTCACAAGCACTCCTTTCAAATACTTTCAAGCCAAAACTGTCTCATTAAGAACTCCAACTGATCGGAAGCAAATCAATTGGGCTATTTTACAAGCATGGTCGAAGGGTTATTCAGCACTTCCCATTCCCCTTCCTTATAACTCCAACCTCCCAAGTATGTCTGTATGCCTGCTTTTTGTCAGTCTCAAAATACTCAGACAATCGTCCGAGCAATTCAACTGACAGTTACTTTCTGCTCTCTTCTATTTCAGCGGTTACTAGGTACCTGTAATGAGGTGTCATATGGGCAATCACAGACGTCTTCTCTTTTGACCGTTCTAGTTAACGGCAGTAGTTTTCTAGTGAACGCACCTTGATGAAGATAGCTTTAGATAGCGTTTCACGTTGTTTACAAGTGTTTACAGTAACATACCCAAGGTTATGTTATAATCTAGGTTATGTTTAGTTCATTGTTCCCATAAATACATAGCAAAAAACGTAAGAGACTTGTACTTTTTTATTAGTCTCGGTACTTAAAAGGATGTTACTTAGTGAGTAATTACGTTAATGATTTTTTTTTTCGTTTTGGCGGGGTCTTGAGCCCGCAAAAGCGATCAGACTTTGCCCCATTAAAGACTTGTTTAATTTGTGCGAAAACATTTTTACTCTCATGAAAATGTGTTCTGTCACGATTTTTTTACTTGCTGAGGTTTATTTATTAACTGATGAAAGATTAAACCTTTGTTATTTTTGTTTTTTATTTGATTTATTTTTTTTGTTACCAGTTTGCAATCGTAAATTTAACAGGGAAAAAACAAAAACGTAGAATTAACACTGATGTGCAGTTGATGAGAGCCTATGAGAAAATTAACATTCATCTTTCTTTATCAAGTTTGTTTAAGTTCCATGTAGCGAAAATAAGCGCAGTATCATATTCTGCGACCAATCTTGAGGTGAGTTAATCAACTGAGACAACTTTCCTTGTTCTAATTTTTATCATGATCTAACCGAACGATGCGTTATACAACACAGGGAAAGGCGTAGGTATAAATTGTCAATTTTTAAGCTAAAGGCTAATAAATATTTTACATTTGCTGTTGTGTATGTCATGTGTCAATCCCGGAGAAGGGGAAGGGGTCTCCATGTGATTAAGGGAAAGGGGATGCTGGTCGGAAAAAATTAGAATCAAACCACCCCTGGATACCAATCTGCGCTTGGTTCAGCGAGCAACTTTCATGTACTCGTGTCATGGTGTTTTCACCGACCAGTTATTTTTATGTAAGTCCCACAAACCAGTCCGGTAAAGGTACAGTAAAACGGGCAACAAAAACACGTCGTGCAACTTGTTTGCAACATTGCTGCAAAACGAGTTGAATTGCGTTGTACCTCTCACTAAAAATCCAGCCTGTCTTGCCACAAATCAGGTTGTTGCAGGTTGCGAAAATTTGTTGTACAAAGTAGAGAGTGGTTCTAAATAAGATCTGTTGATGTTGCCCGTTTTACCGTTGCTTTGCAGGTAGTGCCGTAACTCCCGTGCAAGTGACTCCCGCGTAATTTTATCCGATCAGAAGTCAGTGTTCACGCAACTTGCAACAACCTGATTTGTTGCAAGACAGGTTTGATTCGTGGGTGGTAAAATGCGCAACATCGCTATTCGACTTTTTGAAGCAGTGTCGCAAAACAAGTTGCACGTTTTTTTGCCCATTTTACCGTGGCTAAACCTACAGACCTAAAAACAGTATTTTGACCATTTAATGGCGTTTAGTTTTCCTTTTTGATATCTTAGTACTTGGAATGCGCTCACAGTAGGTGGGTAGACTACAAGGGAGAAAGTTCTCTAAGAGTTATCTAAAAATAAACGAGTCCATAAAAGTGAACCATGACGTAGGCAGGGCTGTCACTAAGATTTCAAGTTGATTTATAAATACAACAAGTAGGCGGGAAATCAAAGAGCTAAGGACAGCCTTAAGTGTCACCTCTATGGGTAAAAATATTGAACGACTTTCCGCCTTGAGTGAGACCAACAAAATCGGCATTTTACGACCCTGAGAGAGATCACTAGAATCCCGGCCCCTTTCATGCAAGAATCTCTACCCTTAGGGTATTATTTTGAATTTTGATTTTATTTTTCTTCGCTTTCTGAATCCTCCCCCAAAAGTTATTTTTTAAAAAGCCATAAAGCGCCCTCTCTAAATCACGAAATGTAAAATCTCTCTGCATACAATCTAACTAATAATAACAATAACTAATAATAATAATAATAATAACTTTATTTCTATAGCGCTCTTATCCTATGTTCAAGGCGCTTTACAGTCATGTAAACAGCATTATTGAAAAATATTTACAAATTTACAACCATATCCTATTATATTTACAATGAGTAAACAGGGAAAAAATTAAAACTAAAGCAACTATCCTGAAACCATAAAATCTTTGTTTTGAAATGAAGTCAAATGCTATTATTCTTTTAAGAGTGAAGACCTTGGAAACAGGACTGATAAAACGCCATAAAAAATTAGGTTTTTTTGTAGACGAAAAATCTGCATTTCTGTATAAACACAGTTTAGATCCTTACCACGCATGCGAAAGCTATTTTTGTATGGCAAAGACGATCTAGTCCATCTTCAGGCGCAATATTTAATTTATGCAGTTGGTAGACCTGTCACCATCATAACATATAATGGTGGTGGGGCATGATGTCCGGACAAAGATCCAAGACTATCATTTCCCAGATGAATTAAAATCTACCTCGAACACTAACGAAATTGTAGGTGGCAGTGAATATATGGCAAAAATCAGTGGTGATTACCGTATTTGCTCGAGTAAACACCGCGGTGCTTATTGATTCGAGGGCGGCGTTTATTTGAAAGTTGGACACGAGAAAATAATTTACGGCAATATGATTGTCCTAGTTCAGTATTACACTAACTAGGGCTTTTTTGCTTTGGAGCAGCTTTCAGCGCTTAAATTAGCCTTACTCTCAATATTTCACAATGTTTTAATAGACAATTTATGAATTTTCTGTGAAAAAGGAGCCAGATCCTCCTCCCCCTCTGGGGCAGATCATGGTTGCAAGATGCATGGAGCCGAGCTGCTACGTCAGCGGTTTTTTGAAGATAATTCAAAAGGGTGGACGAAGATTCTCACTCGGCTGACGACTCGAGCGCTGGACTCGATGCGTTATTCCTGTGGTTCTCGATCTGTTACCAGTCCCAGTCCACCAGCTCCTCGCCTCTACTTTAATTTCTAGTTTGCTGTCGTGCCTTAAACTTATCTGAGATCTCCACGGCTTGGAGTAAAAGTTTATAAAGCAGTTGGCCTTAAAAACATTTTAGCTCGCCTTTTGCCTGATTCCTCTAACATGGTGGCCAAACTTTTGACAGTATTCATTAGCATATCTTTACAGTCTGGGTAGTCCCTTTGGAATAGGAAAGTCGCGAGCATTATTCCCTATCTCTATCATACCGGCAGTTTCTAATAAGAGTGTGAGAACGAGCTGTACACCATCAATTAGATGCTTATCTTCAGATTCACAAAGTTCGTAACCCATATCAATGTGATTCCAGAAAGGGTCATTTCACTTTGAGGGCTGTCACGTGCATTAATCAAGGCCGGTTGACTGGTGCGGTACTCATCGACTTGCAGAAAGCATTCGATACGGTCAATCATTAAAAATTAATTCTTTTGAATAAACTGCCGGGGCTAAAGGTAATGCATCATGAGTACAATTGGTTCAGAAACTATCTACAAAAACCCTACTCAAGTTGTGGAATTCCAGAACGTGTGAAGTACTGCTGATGCTGTGTCTTTGGGGGTACCCCAGGGATTCTCTCTAGGGCCGCTGTTAGTCATAAATCATGTACAAAAGTCCTCACTCAAAATTGCATTTGTGGCGTTTTTCAGCTACACATGTCATTCTGTCAACCCACTCCACATTCAAGGTTGAACCCGTGTATCCATAATATCTCAGGAAATTTCTATCTATCATCCAGCTAGCCGTCCATCTATTTATCCAGGTTCGAAATATGGGAAGGGAACAGATTTTCAGCACAACAGATAGATACCGATAGCACAATACGCAATTTCCCAATATCACTGGGGGATAGCCTGAGATCACTAGTGATCTAGTACTCTGGATTACCGAAACACTTAATAAAAGAAATACTAGTAGTTTCCAAAGGAAAGTGAAGTTGCAATTTCTTTCGATTTTTGATATTTGCCATTAACAGTTTAAAATAACTGTGCATGTAACGCAACACTACAGGTGAAAAAAAACTTTGTGTATCTAGCTACAATTGTATAAAAGTCCGTGAGAATAAATCAGCGTAATATTTGTCTGAAACTTGTCCACGATAAGGTTTAGAGCAGGGAGCGGAGTGAGTGAACGAGTGAATTTCCAATCGAGTTCAATGTTAAGCTGGTTCATTAGCTTCGCAGGCGTCAAATCATTTTCAATCCTAGCTTCTGCCGTGTATAAAATGTTCTACTACTTGCCAAGAGAAGAACAAACCTTGTAACACGTTTTTTGGATCCGATTTGCCTGCTACCTCGAACCTAAATTGTTCAGGGAGCTGACAAGAAAACCAGCTGGCTCATTTAGCTTCCTACCTAGCATCTCACTTTTTTACTTTTTAGTATTTTCAATTACAAGATTGTTAAATCAACCATTAACGTCGATAAACGCATAATAAATAATATTCAATTCCATTCTATTCTATCCTATTCTATTGTAATCTAATGTAATCTATTTTTTCGCCTCATACTATGCGTCGAGTTATTATTAACAACAGTAGTTACTATTTAAACCATTATTGTCCGCGTTCTGTCGCTTTAGTAAATGCCCCAATACGCACGCCGATCTGCAGTCGACTGAGCCCGGGAACTGAAGCTTCCTTTTGTCACACCACCATATAGTCTTGCGGTAGCACTTTGAATCCGAGAGGCAGCACTTTGTGTGATGGGATTCTTAACTCCTCCTAGCAACCCATGATATTCACCTATAAGAAAACACATAACTGTTTTTTTTAAAGATTTTTTACTTAAATTCACTTTAAGCATGAGTATCAGCAAATTTTTTACTTTCAAGTCCCTTTTAGGGCCTTTTATTCTAAATTGCGACGTCCTCTTTACGTACTAGGGTACTTTGTAATATTAGTAAAATCCAACTATTGGTTGAGCTACTAATAGGCTATATGTTATAGCCCACTGATAGCGAAAAGCGCCGGCTTTGAAAACCAAAACAATGGCGGTTGAATCGCGTTTTGCTAGCCAAAGTTGTTTTGTCTCGATATTTTTGACCAACTACTTGGATTTTACTAAAGCAATTATTCCTCTCGTCCTCACTGGCACTGAGTCAGTAGCCCATTCGGGCTCGAGGAATAATTGTTAAATATCGACACTATACCGCATAGCTTTTGCGCCGCCACGAAAATCATACCGTATAGGGCTTCTGTTCACACACAAGAACACTTGTGGTTGCGCAATTTCTGTGACATAGCGAAGCTGCGCCGAGCCGATCTCTAAAGTAAAGTGTCACATATCGGATAGGTTTTTTTCCATACTTTGATCTACAACCCCGGACAAAACTGTTGAGACAATTCCATCTATTTTCTAACTTTTGCGCCCTACTCCTGTCTCCCCTAAACGCAAAAAGTAAACCCCCTCCCCACCCCCTCTTCAAAGTTGCCTTGGTCTAAAAACCAACGTGTATAATTGCCATGCTATCCTAAACAACTTTGGATCAGGGGAGGGGGGAAATCGGGCATTCATTTGGCGGAGGTTTCAGTGTTTGCCAGGATGACAGGAAAAAATAGGCATTTTCGCGATTTGTCTCAACAGGTTTTGTCCGGGGTTGTCTGCGGACTGTTTACGGTATTCTTTAACTTTCATACCAATTACCTCAAGTTATAGTCCTCTTTTTTGGTCAAATTGATAAAAGCCATTGTTTCAGCATTCTTTTTTTTTCTTTTGAATGCGAAATAAAATTTTTACAGTAAAAATTGAAGTTATAACACTCTGATTACATGATCTGTCAAATGACATTTACTCTGTGACGTTACCATGGGCATGACTTTTAACGGCTTACGTGTCCGTAGACGCTTTGCCTGCTCAAATGATGACATTGATATGTAATCGCCAGACAAAATGGATCTCTCGAGAACTTCCGATAGTGACGAATCATTTTCAGGAGGCTCGGAAATATCGCATGAATCACTGGGTGAGAGGAAGGTTAGGGCGCTTATCTGGTCACTTACAGTCACGCGAATTTGGCTCATTTTTCCATCCCGCGAGTAATTTGCCTTAGCAGTGATTACGTCGTTCGCCAAGTGCAGTGCAAAGATCCTACACTTAATAGGAAAAACATTGCCTCAGTTACAGCAAATGTGGAATTGTGTACGAACGGGAATGTGGTATGATGGATCTCTCATTTCTCCACGCAGATCCCGCGGGAACAATAACGGGAAATCCCTCGATGTGTAAGGTGCTTTGATGAGCTTGTTATGCAACAAAAAACGGAGTAGTTTTTCTCGCAGACGGTTAACTTAACGAATAAAGTACGGCAGAGGAAAGAAACATCGGTTAACGACGGTTAACAACGGTTAACAACTTTTCTGAAGAAAAACAACAGTTAGACTATCAGTTTCCTTTAATATATTCTGTTAACCGCTGTTAACCGCTGTTAACCGTTGTTAACCGTTGGAATAAACATGTGCGTGCCTGTTAATCGTTTATTTCAAGCGTTTACGGTGCTTTCAAGCATTTTCCGTAGTATAAAGAAGCGTTTTGTTGATTTTCAAGCATAAAAAAGACCTTTTTACTTAACGGAAAACTTTTTGACACTGGTGTAATTGTCATGAAATGCGCTGTTTTTTTTGCCACAAAAGAACTGCCATCGCGTGACAACATGTTTTCGCTGTATTTGTGATCAAAGAGGCATTGCTTTCCCTACACATCCTATTTCTACCCATTTTGGAAGTTCTTCGTTAATATTTGTTCTTTTGGCCTTGGTTGTCATAGAAAAATTAACGGTTTTATCGGCATGGATTCCATTATTTTGTCAAGTAGATAATCTGGTATATATGTTGTAAATTGTTCTAATTACACACTCAGTAAACGCGGGTATTGTTAACTCGGTGAAGCTTACTTTTCCAGTTCTACTCTAACTACATGGAGAAAGTCGTCAGTGCAACTAAGTATCACTCGGCCTCTAAGGGGTATTTTTAACTGCTCCGCCGCATTCTTGAGTCCTCGTGCATGACCCGCACACCACGCACTATTATTTTTGAACAGGACCGTTGTCCTGCGCAAATATAATAAATACCCAGTCTTATCTAATTTATTCGACATGTAAGCACAATTAACGTTGGTAAAAAGGCCGGAGGTAAGGCTCCTATTAAGATATCATACTTGTGACACACAGTAACTCCTTAATCGTGGCCACCAACCACAATTAATTTCAATACTTTTTCTGTAAAGAGCATGATTTCTTTCTCATTTAGGTATAAGGTTTCTAATTTATGGCTAAATTTCTAAGTGCCTAATTAATGCGTCCTAATTGTTTTTATGACACCTTCTTTACTAGTCACAAAGCTTTAGACAAGTACAACATCTGTGCAGAAAATCAATACCCTCCGACCTTATATTGCGAAGTTACAGCGATTTGAACAACTGGCCTTCACAGACAACCCCGGACAAAACTGTTGAGACAATTCCATCTATTTTCTAACTTTTGCGCCCTACTCCTGTCTCCCCTAAACGCAAAAAGTAAACCCCCTCCCCACCCCCTCTTCAAAGTTGCCTTGGTCTAAAAACCAACGTGTATAATTGCCATGCTATCCTAAACAACTTTGGATCAGGGGAGGGGGGAAACCGGGCATTCATTTGGCGGAGGTTTCAGTGTTTGCCAGGATGACAGGAAAAAATAGGCATTTTCGCGATTTGTCTCAACAGGTTTTGTCCGGGGTTGTAGTATGTACACCTATTTGGCCCGTCGCGGAAGTAAATAAGTAGGAGCGAGGACTGGAACCATCTGAGAGGGAAGTAAATATTCTGGGGTGAGGACTGGAATTTAGTGCCCCAAACCTTTCTCAGCCAATCTTGCCGGCACGATATTCGTAGTGTGTGAACGACTTGTGTCGCCCCGGGCCTTTGCTGTTCATACTAACCGGTATAGTGTGAAGAACAGAGACAAATAACAACGGCTTGAATCTTGGAAGGCATGTCATTAAGTAAGTATAGAACATAGTGCCGTCGATCAGGACTTTGGCTGTAAAAGACTTTTCTGGTGAATACAGTCCTTTGTTAATAAGACTTTTGAATTGTGTGGTCCAGCGAGTAGCGCTTAAACAACCTCTACGAAAGTCATCACAAGAATCCAACAAAAACCGCAATTTATGCACTCCAGGTATTTTTCACTTATATGCATGGTATTAACTAATCTGTAGTTAGAAAATAACATAAAACTAAATTAAATAAAAATTGAAATAACAGATACATTCGTGAAATCACTTTTTTTGTTTCTATGACCGTCAGAAGGTCGAAAGTAAATGCAGCAAATGACCTTCAAATAAATTGATCAAAATTGTTACACAGGAGAAAAATGTTTGAAATGACATCTACATCTTTAAAGGGGTTATTGTTTAAGAAATAAATCCATGACAGAAAAAAATTGGTGCGAAACTAGTTATAGAAAGCATCTTCATTTACTGGACATAACGAACATGTAAAAAGTCTTTGGTATACTATTTCTCCCTGTTTCAATACAAAACGAGTCTGGTAACATGACATACTAGGTGAACGGTGTGGCTTGAAACATCTCAGTACTATCACACAATACCCGCTTTCCTAATAATAAACACATTTCAGGGGATAATTAACTTCTCTCAGTCTATTGATTGAGTAAATGTTTGGCTTTGCTTGTTGTCATTCGGGTTTTTTCAAAGACTTGCAAGAAGGAATTGAGTACGTTACGGTACCTGAGAAGCTGGAAGGGTTCTCATCACAGCAACAACAGCAACAATTGTGTCGAAGGCACTCTCCGCATCCACTGCCCTTGCAACAGCAACAGTAACAACAGCATGCGAGCATAGTAAGCGCTACAAAGGTAGTTATGGGAAGAGCAATCAGGAGGAACTTGCCATTGACTGAAAAATAAAGAACAATTTTAATCGTTTTGGAGGATTTAAGAACTTAAACCTCTTTCGTTTTTTCCTTAAAAGTGCTCCAAAGTTTAGGCTAGCAGTGTCGAGTGAAAAACAGTTGTTTTATTCTTTTTTATTCCAGTTTTGTTGTTGTTGTTGTTGTTGTTATTATTATTATTATTATTATTATTATTATTTTACTTTCACACCCCGTCGCTAAAGACCTTTGGTCATTGGAATGAGCAACGCAAAAGTACAACTGTTTTGCTGTTTTGTATTGTGTAGCAAAGCTGTATAAATTATTGATCAGCCAAAAGTGCAAGAAACACATTCAGCTTAACAACTGTTAGAAGTCGATTGAGTTAAGTAGGTAACTAGAGCCTTTGGAGTAGAGAATTTGCCTCGAAGTCCACCGCCCAGAGGGAGAAAACTCCTACACGAAAGAGACGCGAATGCTCGCCGTCTTGCTTTATGGTGTAAATTGGAGATATACTTTTCAGGACGAAAAGCTAATATTTGTATATTTGTACCCAAAGGGTGGTGTGCTAAGAGATTTAGCCGATTTAACAAAGGTTGCTTTGGGCATTAGGATCTCACTGCAATGGTTTGCTTGAGTGACCACCAAACGATAGCTTTCCATTGCGCTATTCCCAACACCCAAACCAACCTTTATTGAATCAGCTAGATACAAAGAACACTAAATGTTGTCATGCTGTGTTGCAGACATCATTCAATTTCAAAATCTTTCCTTCAATTAATAAACAGAGCTCTTAACTGGTTTTGGGAAATAGAAGCCTGCTGTAATATATAGTCTCTTTTAGGGGTCTTATAAAGCCTGAACCATAATTGTTATAGGGTTTTAACTCTAATTTTCCAAAGAGCCCACGTACACGCTTCATACAGGAGTCACTCGCCCCAGCTCCCCCACTTCCGCCACGTGCCTGGCATTTATGGAATTCTACATTGAGAGTTGAAAGGGATAGGAAATCAGGTATTGCACAAACTCAAGGCACTTGTTGTGGAGATTGGAATTGTGTGGTCTAAGTACAGTGCCAGTATTACCTAACATCATAGGAACGAAGGAGAAAAGGGATAAACAAAAATGCAGTTTGGATAGTACGGAAATATTACTGCGCAAGATAATCAATTACTTTTTACAGAAATATTTATCATCTCCACGGAAACCAAGTGAGTAACTGCTTGATGTGGCACAATCGCGGGCGCTGTCTTTCTTGAGGAGTTAAAGGAGTAATTGAGGCGGTCCAATTGCACTTGTAGCGCGCTGCATACAAAGCTACTTCCCGAGTAGTCTGTCTTAACTCGATTCTGAGACAAAAAGTGCCTGGCCATGGAGCAGGTCAGAAATGTTCCGAGCGTGTTTAGATGTAGCGAGTCTATTTGCGGAGATAAGACGAATGATCGATCGCCTTTCGCCTTTTCTCTTTAGTACAAAGATACAAACCATATAGCTGTCTTTTCACCCCTTGCTATCGAGGCAACTTGAAAATAACAGCAAAACAAAAAAACTTACCACTACATTGCTTGAAGTACCAGTCCTGGTCTTCGCATTTGTTATTCAAAGTGTCGTTCACCAAGGAAAATGTCACGCAAGCTTTCTCGCTGCTACAGTAGGTACACTTTGCAGAAGATACAATTTAAAAAAATTATGAGAGTAAAGTTTTGTTAAGTTTTAATATTTACCAGATTGTAATGTCTGATACATAACCTGTGATGAGCTTAGCTCAGCATGGCTATATAAATACCGTAAAATTCCGAAAATAAGCTCCGGGGCTTATATTTTTCAAAGGCCCTTTTTGAGGGGCTTATTTTTGGAGGGGCTTATCAATGAAGCCTTATAGTTGGAAGTAAATTTATCGTTTTTGCTTTGTTTTACTTTGTATTTGAGGACCATTTTCCAAGTACAAGCCCCCGGGGGGGGCTTATATTTGGAGGGGCGATTTAACGGAGGGTTTTTTGCGTTACCGGTTTGGGGGGCTTATATTTGGAGGGGCTTATTTTCGAAATTTTACGGTATTTTAGGATATGACAGTGACAGAGAGCTGGGACTTCATTCAAAATGACCGCCATGGTGGCAGCAAATACTGTAGAAAGTGATGCTTTTTCAAGCTTCACCTTGAGGACTAAACTATGCTCAAACTGTTCATTTTGCCGGTTTCTGTTCTATCTTATACGTTTTTCAAAAAAGGGCGAAAAAGTCACATGGCGTCATATCTCGTTACTATAGCAACCGATTTTCGCCAAAAGGGTACCTGCGAAAAAAAATACAAACAGACAAAGAAAAAAAGAAATCAGAACAGACCAAGTTTTAAAGCTCCCCACTCCCTACGTTCGAGTGAGAGTTTAGCCTCTTACTGATAATTTACAGATTATGATCATTTCGGGGAGTGAGGAGCTACTCCCCATGTACATGCTCTTCAAAAAAACCTAAATGGCCAAACCTCGTGGCTTCCTGCCTGGTTCATTCATTCTTTCATTCACATCGCACAGAGAATTTTCCTAATATTTGCTGTAAACAGAAGGCTATTAGCTGTAAGGTTTGTCACTTCCAAGTCCGTTTGTTCCCAAATATAATTCTCGGTTCAAAGCAATTTCAACAGGTGTATTCACATTAAACGTTTAAGTACACTTGAAGTGCGCCTGAGCTGAATTGTGCTTAAAAAGCATTTGATCAAGAACAGGAACAAGCTTTATTTACATTTCTCTTCAGAATAATTATAGTCACAGAGGGGTAGTTTTAGTCTAACGGCCGGTCGATTACATGAAGTGTGATAAAATGAAAACTAAAAATACATTACAGGTAAGGAAATGCCCAGCATCTAAATAAACCGTTAGGTTTCCGAGTAAGATGCTAGTCTCGTATTGTTATGAAGTGCACTTAAATTTTTTTTATGAAAACATGGCTTTCACACCAACAGTTAAATGAGCTGTTTGAGGCGAACTTATCTTGCCCTCGGAGTACAATTACGCCGGGAAATCTACATGTATACAATATATCTGCTATGCCCGATTTTCCTTACCGACCACAGTCGTTTTGAACAGAGTCGAAACGAAAAGTGTAAACTCGAAGTTTGAAGTTTATCTTTACTCATATCCTCTCTTGCTTTTACTCCATCGTTCATTTGCTTACGGCCTATAAGAAGCTCGTTCCGCTCGCTTAATAGAAACTCGTGGCAATTCGCTCAATTTCCAGTAACTAGAGAAACTATCCAAAAACCGATTGATAAATTCCCCATTTACAAGTTCTTTTTTGTAAGACGCCATGTCTACGAGCCGAATGAACAAAGCCAACAATATCGTCGAACAAGAATCCACGTTTCTCGATTGCTCGGTAACTATTGTAGATTGCAAGTTGTGATTCAAGATGATTGACCCTTTGATAATACGGCTTCAGAGGGTTTGATGGGATGATTGCATTGACAAGGAAGCTTTCGACCTTTCAGAGTGTACTTCGGCCGTTTAGGGTTTTGCTATTGCCGTGGCAACTAGGTACGAATAATCTTAAAATGAAAACAGGACCCGTTCACACACAAGTTAGTCTCAAGTGCACTTAAAAAGTCTGGTGTGAACCCACCTCTGTAAAACTATTTTTAACTCTCTGACAGTATCTTGTGCAGAGGTATTCATTAATCTTACCCCATCTCGAACGCAATCGTCACACGATTCGTTGCTTTTTAAATTGCACTTGTCATCTAAAAAAGTAGGGAACAATAAAAAGAATTGAGACTTCATGCAGCATCGGATGCCTCTAGGTGGTATAACACAATGCTTTAAATCAAAGCATACATTTGTGCATTATCTAGTTATCTCAGAAGTATAAAATGCCAGAACGGAAACTTCTCGAGCTCGAATTCAAACTGAGGAACCAAAGTGTTAAATTAGAAATATCCTATGGACTACCTTTAAAAAACATTCAATAAAGTTTTGTTTTGATCATCCACGCTAACTAGATTTTCATAATTTAAAACTAATAGCCCGTAGAAATCACTTACCATGACTTAATTTTATCCTTGGATTTACGTTTATAAAGATCCTGTTATCCATTAAGCTTTTTATATTTTCCCAAATCTTTTACTGCTTTTTTGTTTCTCCAGATAAATTTCGGTGGTTGTCATATTTAGATTCAAATTCTATTTTGCTATGTTGTCCTTGACACGGACGGATAAGTTTCATTGAAGAGCAAACGGCGTCAGTTCAACTAGTGCATCTCGAGTCTGTTATCTTTGACGACAATTACAGTATTTGCTTTGTAGAGGTTGAACAGAGTACAATATGACTTGAATTTACCCAAATTCTCAGTTTTTGTAGGTTTTAAAACAATCATTTGTATTACTTGCAAGTCTCTGGAGTAAGCCCAGGTAGTTATAGTTATGTAATTGAAGACTAAAACGGATAACGGTTTTGCATTACAAAATTATTAATAAGCAACGGCACTGATATAAACTATTTCCATGTGTCTAACTTTTGACGTTTCGCAGTAAAGAATACCATGTCCTCACTGTTTGATGTCTCGCATTACAAAAGGCCCTAGAATACCCTCTTTCATTTTAGCAAGAAACATACATTCAAAGCTCTGCGTCCATAACACTCCCCCACCCCTCCCCCCTGGTCCGGCTTGGCTAAGTGAGTTTTAACTTGCTTTAAACGATCAAATCATTAGTTAACACTTTACAAAATAAAATAGTTATCAAATATATACCTGTAAGTCGTAAGAGTAAAAGCCCATATTCTCAGTGAGCAACTCCATAATTAAAAAAGAATAAAATAGCAATGATCATGATAATAAACTATTTAATAAGTAAAGCTCAGAACTGACTCACCTGCCGCAAGACCCTCAGTGTACCAAAACTGAGCAAAATACAGAGCTGTTATAAAAACAAGCACTGAAAAATTGCTTGAAGAGAACATTGCAACAGCGTCAGCGAGATTGAGGCTTCAAAACTGTAGGATAGCGACAGTTAAATGGTTTTGCAACGACACCAGACGTTCTTGGGTGACGCCCATAGCAACCTCTTACCCCAAGCGTCTGTTTGGCGTCCATCCGACCGTTTTCAAACGCCTGATGACCACGTGACCTCGCATGATATTTAATTCCTAGAAACCTTCCGCAAAGGTGTACTACTGTACATTTTACCGAGAAATCGGTTTGCTTGGACATCGAAATTTCGCCGGCTTTGCTAATTCGACGAAGAAGTAAATGGATTCTGCGCTCAATTACAAGGTAATATGGAAGAGTTACAGGTATTGACGTACGTAATCATGAGGAATCTTCAGTTTCTATCTTATTTCACGCAAACATATATTCGGTGTGATTTTCAAATGGCATTTGGCCTGGTCTAGGTCGATTTATACCTTGGCGTTGTTTGAGGTTTAAGAAAGATCAGCCGAATAAATCGTAACGAGTTAGTTTGGGGTAGACAGATCAAGCCTACAGCTTATTTAACGTTTTGTCAATAGTTTTAAACAACTATATTATATTTTTGGGCTTCTTCAGTAATTGGCGTCTTTTTGCCACAAGTACAAAGTACACCGAGATTTATATTCTTCCGTTTTATCATCTCCTTTTTATGGGTACATGTAATGTTTCTAGGCAAAACAGCGCAAAATTTTGTACTTTTTGTAGTTAACCCTACTTCCGTACCAAGCTTCGAAAGCCTTCTGAGACGTACAAGTTTCGAGTTGCATGTAGTTAGGGACCTTCGATATATTCACTTTTCCCCGCTTAACGTCAACTGGACGTTTAGGAGAAGACAGGAGGGAGAGGGGGGAAGGCAGTGGACGTAAGTGCGGGGCATTTTTGGACAAAAACAAACCGATGCCGATTTTAATAAATGGCGGCCATATACCAGCTATTCTGGCTTTGAACCCTGAATACTGTAGTGTAGTATTTTAGGGGTCTTATAAAGCCTGAACCATGGCCAGGATGAATTGTTATGGGGTTTTAACTCTAATTTTCCAAAGAGCATCCCGTACGCGCTTCATATTGGACTCACTCGCCCCAGTTCCCCACTTCCGCCTCGTGCCTGGCATATATGGAATTCTACATTGAGCGTTAAAAGGGGTAGGAAATCAGGTTCTGCACAAACTCAAGGCACTCGTTGTGGACACTGGAATTGTGTGGTCTAAGTACAGTGCCAGTATTGCCTAACATCTTGGGAACGAAGGAGCAAAGGGAAAAACAAAAATGCAGTTTAGATCACGGAATTGTTATTGCGCAAGATAATCAATTACTTTTTACAGAAATATTTATCATCTCCGAAACCAAGTGAGTAACTGCCTGATGTGGCACAATCGCGGGCGCTGTCTTTCTTGAGGAGTTAAAGGAGTAATTGAGGCGGTCCAATTGCACTTGTAGCGCGCTGCATACAAAGCTACTTCCCGAGTAGTCTGTCTTAACTCAGTTCTGAGACAAAAAGTGCTTGGCCATGGAGCAGATCAGAAATGTTCCGAGCGTGTCTAGATGTAGCGAGTCTATTTGCGGAGATTAGACGAATGATCGATCGCCTTTCGCCTTTTCTCTTTAGTACAAAGATACAAACCATATAGCTGTCTTTTCTGCTCTTGCTATCGAGGCAACTTGAAAATAACAGAAAAACAAAAAAACTCACCACTACATTGCTTGAAGTACCAGTCCTGGTCTTCGCATTTGTTATTCAAAGTGTCGTTCACCAAGGAAAATGTCACGCAAGCTTTCTCGCTGCTACAGTAGGTACACAAGATACAATTAAAAAAATTACAGAAGATACAATTAAAAAAATTATAAGAGTAAAGTTTTGTTAAGTTTTAAGAGTAAATGTCTATAAACATCAAACAAAATCGGAAAAATCGCGGCCACGGTCAAAAATCGATTTCGCTCCTTTTTTGTGTGCAGTAAGCCTAAGCAGTGTAATGAAATGAAATGAGGTTAGTTTTTGAAAATACTCTTTTTAACGGCCACAAACAATAAAAAACCGTCTCGACCCAAAATATCAGAATTTGACTGGTTTTAAACGTAAAATTACGCGGTTCTCAGGAAGTCCTTATTCGGACACAAAAACTAAATTCAAGCCTTTTTAACTATAGTTGTGTACACTAGGTCTTCCTCTTTTTAAAAATAGTAATATGTGTGGTTTAATGTCTTAAATAAGAAAGTTAATAGCGGATTTGTAAACAGCATTTTCGAACGGCTGAACAACACGCGAAACATGGTTCCGAACAAATCACCAAAAATATATGTGGTAGTGTCTCAAAATTAACCAAACTTCATTTGCGTATCCTGGACGGATGTTTCTTTGTACATATTGCCTTATTTCTCTGGGATCTTCACTCTTCTGAGTTTAAACAGCAGTCGAGTTGCAGCAAATTACAAATGGCGCCTTGTTATAAAAAGCAATAACTTTTACGTGAGCGCGCACTTAAATCAAGTTAAACAAATATTATTCGCCATCTATAAAGGCAGAAAGTGACAGAAAATGCTGAAATTCAGTTTCAATGCACGTAAACGAACAAAAGTAAGGAATGCCGTTTGTATCAAAAATACTTCTTACCATGAGTAAACCTTTACATTAAATATATAAAACATTTTGCTTTATGAATAAAACTTCTTAGTTTTAGTATTAAGGTTATAGTGCACAATTAAAACTTTTTGCAAAATATATAAAACTTGTTACGTAATATATCAAACGTGTTAAACTATAAAACTTGTCACGCAGTTTATATAACGTTGCAAATATAAACTTGTCTTTCTATAAATAAAAGTCATGGTTATATAAAACTTGTTACAAATATTCTCGTTGAAAATATAAGCATATATAAAACTTGTTAAAAAGTAAAACTTGTTACGATATATAAAACTTGTCACGCAATACCCCCGACTTTCCCTTTTTTCCCCAGCCGCTCGTCATGTGGTTGAGCCCTCTGGCTATTTGGTCAGCGGGCGCACCCTTTTAGCTCCTGCCGATCCCCACGACCCGGCGCGGGAAAGTGAGAGTTAGCGAAGGTAGCGTCTGAACATGGCCTCTCACAAGGACCTCATGGACAGGTTATCTAGCCTTGTCGATGGCCTAAGGGAACAAACCAGAGCAGCAAGTCAACGAGCAAGTAGTGAAGAAGACGTTAATGACACACTTGCCCGTCTATTTCCAGGCACGAGAAGAAATTCGTCAGCGTCTCGATTGGCAGCAACCGCGACATCAACAACAAACAACGGCGTGCAACAGTTAAGTCAGTGGAGTGAGGAAGCGAAGCCAAAGAGAAGCAGTCGCCGCCGACAACCCAGGCCAAAAGCTACGAAAGGCAATCAAAATTCTGCGATAAAGGACATTATCCTTTTACCCAATCCGAAAATCAGTTCTGTTCCTCGTGGCCAAAAAAGGGAAGAACTGTATGTGCGAAAGCTATTTGCCACGGCATTCGAAATTTTCTTCTTCAGAAACTTACAATAGTTTTAAAACAGAATTTTCAAATCAAATGAATGGAAACAACTTTGAAATTGTCCTAGCTGTAGGTAACAAGATCGTTAGCCCAAACGTTGCTGGTGGAATAGATGGTAGGGTGTTAAAACACCTTTGTGCGCAGGGTCCCGTTTATCTTCGATGCAAAATCCCATTAGAAACCGACTACGGTTGGGTGAGCGATGATGAGAAGGACGAAAGTAATGAGAGCGATAATGACTTTTTACCCAGAAGGAAACGCGCATACTCAAGGAGTGGAACCATCAAGCAGTCACTGAATGCGAGTGACGATGATGATCTACCACCCATGAGCAAACATGGAAGTGCAAGGCTCTCCTCAGACACCAATAAGCAGTCGCTAACTGTGAGTGAAGATGATGATCTACCACCCATGATTGATTGGAGCCCAACACCTCGAAGTGCAAGGCTTTCTTCATCAACAAGTACAATCTCTGGGTCAGTGACACAGGCAGAGGTAACTGATAATCAGTATTCCTCTGGTTCAAGAACTTGTACTGCCTCTTCACTGCCTACGCTATATCCAACATGCCCAACTTGTAACATGCAATTCCCATTATCAGAAATTGAATTTCATGCCGATACCTGTTGTGAGAACATAAGAAACCCAGAAACTTGCCTATATGAATCAATAATGATAGATCCTCAAGATGCAGGGGAGTGGAATTTAAAGCCAGTCGACACAAGTTCTCCCAGTGAAATTAATGAAGAAGTGTCTGTTAAAGATCTTTTGCATAACAAACATAACAGCTCTAGAAAACCCATCTATGGCTCCATGAATGACCATTCTCCATCGCACAAGCTTATGATGACCATCCATATGCCTGCAAAATAAAAATTATTCTTCCCATTGGAAGTTGTCCTTGAACACATTGAACATAATGTAATGGCTTTCAGAGATTTTACTTGGCATTTAAATGACCTAGTACCACGCTTTTTCTTGCTGTCATTTAGTACATACGTACACTGGTACATTGGAACTCAGTTAATACAGAAACCAGATACATTCATTTAAGCCCACTCCTTGCATCTAATTGTGCCATTGCTCCTTGGCCTCTAGTTGCATTACACTGACGGAGCCACCTGGTTACATTTTGGTGTCAGAAGCAGAGCAGGGTCACTAGAACTTAGAAATATTTTAGACGAATAACCTCAGACGCTGTTATCCACCTAGCTAGTTGTAAGCCCATTCTCCGCCTCATAGGCCATTTTAAAAGATACCATAATACTCTGTTGTCCCTTAAAAATTTTACATACTAGGCATTGTTTACGTTTTCCCTTAGGATTTACAATAGCCCCAAGAAAAAATTGAAAAAAATGCTTATGCAAAACTTTGAAGGGATAAGAAAGACTGTCAAAGAATTCTTGAAAAAGCCCTATGCAATCATTGATAAAAAAAAAAAACATTGGTCTCCTCAATGAAAATCCTCAATGAGGTGCCTGA